GGAGCGGCTTGGATCCGGGGCGACTGGGGGACACCGCCCCCGGGGGCACCCGCGGGTGTCGGCGGCCTGGGCGAGGCACGCCGGAGCGAGGCCCTTCGCCAGAATGTCTTCCGGGCCCGGGAGCGCGAACCCTGGAGAACAAGAAGAGGCGGGCGGGGAAGGGAGGCGAGGGCTCCGCAAGGCCGGGCCGGGCTGCTGGGAGCCCAGCTTCCCGGCAGCGAAGACGGACCACCGAGCCCGGAAGGAGAGCAGAGGACGGTGAGGCCGGGGCAAGTTCCGCCCGGGCCGTGCGCGACAGGCAGCATCTCCCTCTTCGCCGCTCTGGACCCTGACTCGACGCCGAGTGCCTCTTAGGGGGCGCGGGCGGATGCCGCCCAAACGCGGATAAGCTGCCAGGAGAGCCGAGCTCGTGAGAATGCCCCCCCCCCCCCGCCGTGCTTGCTTAGTGAGTGGCTCCCAGCTTCTGGGTAGGTCGCCCACCTGCAGGGCCCCTTGCTGGAGAGACCTACCTGCTCGGGGCTTTTCCCCAGGGGGATTCTTTAAGTCATCCACGTGTGCCGAGTGGAAAGAAGTTCACGGGACATTAAGTGGGAAAAACCAAGTTGCCAAGCCGTCCACGGTGCGACGCCATCCTCGAGTGGAAAGGGTTCTTTCTCAACGGCTGCACTGGCGCCTGGGGAGAAACATACGAACCTCTGTGAAATGGGAACGGAGAAGGGGGACACGTGCTTTGTCGTGTGCACCTCTGTATCGTCGAATCACTTGCAGGTTTTCTTAAAATACATGCAATTATTTACTACCTTGAAGTAGGTGTCATGGGCTTTAGTCTCCTCCTCTCGTAAGGGCTGAGACTGAACCGTAAGGTCAGTTACAGCCATGAAAGTCCCAGATTCGTCAAGCTCAAACTCGCCGCTACTCCCTGGATAAAACCAGGACTGTAGCACACAACGTCGAGTCCCCTCAGGAAGCGGAGAAGGGGGCTTGCTAGGCAACAGCAGGTAAGAGGGGAGGGGAGGATGAGTTCAGGGGGCAGGGAAGCACCCTGCTGGGAGCACTGGGTCGCTCAGCCACAGCAGGGATCATCTGGGCAGACCGAGTGGAGCAAGCTTGCAGAGGTCTGGCCTGCCAGGCTTGGAAGTTTTGTCTTTATCTTGAAAACCGTTTGTGAGCCAAGAGTTGCGGTGCTGAAGATCTTTAGGAGAAGGAACGTCAAAAGGAAGGCTTTGTGCCTCTGTTCTCTTTAGAACACCTCTAGGACATCTTTAGGTGCCACGAGGCTGTCCTGTGAGAAATCTGTGGTCATTTACGGCTGGCACCCCGGCCATCTGAATTGTTAGGTCATAAGGTATGTATGGAGCAGGAACGTCAACATAAAAGCTTTGTGCCTTTGCTGTCTTAGACGTCTTTCCCGTGCTTTCCTTGTTACCACACAGGTCTTTTTCACACTGCCCTGGGCTACTGAAATTTCAGACTACGCAGTCAGATGGCTGGGGTGCAAGCCATAGATGACAACAGACTTCTCACAGTGCACAAAGGACTGCACTGCCAACGCAACACTCATGGCACTTGTATCCCCTGCAGACTGTCAGCTTCAAGGAGCTAATCAGCATAGGAAGATGTCTTCTGGTTGCCCCTCCTGAAGATTCTTTCTGTATTCAGGGATGCCCTTCCCACTTGAAAAAAATCTTTCTTTGGTCAAGGACTTTGTTACTCTCTCCTGACAGAAATCGGTGCTTGGGAAAGTTACTCATAGACCAGAATATGTTGTAAACCTCAGAACGACTTTATAAATGCGAACACTTTTAGTTCCTAAATTTTTTGTCACTTGCAATGATTCCCAATATGAAAAATATATTTAATTTAGATTATAAAAATAAGTTCCTAGCTGGGTTTAGAAATCCTCTCTCTGCATACTTATCACGTCATAAAGGGTAGCAGGAAATTTTGTTACCAAATTCTGACTTGCAGATACTAAGAACAAATGAAATGCACAATACTTAACTGTAGTTTTATGGACAACATCCTCGCTTCCATGTCCCCACCACCCAGAACATACAATACAACGTGCAACCACCCACCAGGTACTCTTCTGTACCTGGCTGCTTAAACTCAACATGGTGTCTGTGAGATGTGTCTATATTGCTGAGGGTAGTAATTTCCCTTGTTTTTCACAGTTGTACATCATTCCATTGTTTGAATATATGTACATATTTCAATTGAATATATGCCTAGGCGTTGAATTGTTAGATCGTATGGTGTATATGGAAAAGGAACATCAACATAAAAGCTTTGTACCTTTGCTGTCTTAGACATCTTTCCCGTGCTTTCCTTGTTATCACACAGGCCTTTTTCCCACTGTCCTGGGATACTGAAACTTCAGACTAAGCAGACAGATGGCTGGGGTGCAAGCCATAAATGACCACAGACTTCTCACAGGAGACCCTCATGGCAACTAAATATTGTGCAGTGCTGCACCTCAGAATGCTCATCAAATATATATATATATATATTTGGCTTTAGTGATTACTGACCATTTTCCAAAGTTGTTCCAATTTACACACTCACTGGCAATGATAGCTTCAGTGCCTTCATATGCTTGCCAATTTTGGATATTGTCTTTTTTTTTTTTTTTTGGTAAAACCATTCAGTTAGGTCTTGTAGTAGTATTGCATTGAGGTTTTAATATGCATTTTCCTAATGACATGATGGTGAGAGCTTCTTTAAGATTATTAGCCATTTTGAAAAGTGCTAAATCATTTGTCCATTTTTTTTTTTTTTTTTTTTATTGTAGAAATGCAGTCTCGCCACGTTGCCCAGGCGGGTCTCGAACCTGCGGGCTCAGGCAATCCACTCACCTCAGCCTCCCAAGGTGCGGGATTACAGGCTGAGCCACGGAGCCTGGCTTACCCATGTTTAACATTAGAATTGTCTGGGTCTTTTTTTTTTTTTTTTTTTTTAGCAATTTATAGAAGTTACATCTATAATTAATTAATAAAAAATATATAACAAATTTTATATATACACATATGAATTCAAGTCCTTTGCCAAATATGTAGTGCAATTTTCTTCTCTGTAGTTTACCTTATCACTCTCTTAATGCTGTTGTCACAGTTCATTTTATATACTATAACAGAATATCACAGCCTGGGTAATTTATAAACAATAGAAGTTTATTTGGCTTATGGTTTTGGAAGCTGGGAAATCCGAGACTGAGGGACTGCCTTGGATGAGGGGCTTCTGCTGTGTCTTCCCGGGGCGGGGGATGGAGGGGCACCAGAGCAAGCATAAGAGTGCAAGACTAACGGGCCAAGCACATCCTTTGATCCAAAACTCATGCCTGCCATAAGGAACCCACTGCCACTGTAGCTTTGATCCACTCATGAGGGCGGAGCCCTTGCGTCCTACTCACGTCTTAAAGGTCCCACTTCCCGACACGGCTGTGTTGGAGATTGTTTCCAATGCATGCGCTTGGGGGACACCTTCAAACCACAGCAGATGTCTTTGAAGGAACAGAATGTTTTAAAATCTAAAGAAGTCCAATGTATTGATCTCTTTCATTACGGTTAGTATTTTCTGTGTCTTGTTTAGAAAATCTCTTCCTTAGGCAGTTTCTCTTGCCTATGCCAGTTCTGGTATGTCTCCCTTTCTTTCCTCTCTTCTTTCTCTAACAAACTTTGCTTTAAAAAAATAATAAAAATTTTCGAAAAGAAAATATCTTCCTGCCCCAAGGTAAAAAATGATAATCTCATATGTTAATTTCTAGGAGTTTTGTTTTGTTTTGTTTTTTGAGTTGGAGTCTCACTCTGTCGCCCAGACTGGAGTGCAGTGGCCGGGAGCGGTTTGATCACACCACTGGGCCCCAAAACCAAGCTGACGTACACAATTATCCATCACGTATGGGCAAGACTTTCTCAAAGAAAGCCACAAAACATTTCTGGGAGAAATTAAAGACGTGGATAAATGAAGTGCTAAATCATGTTCATGGATTGGAAGATTCAGTTTAGAGATTATAAAGATGTTAATTCTCCCCAAATTGATTTTCATGTTTAATCCCATCACAATCCAAATCCCATCATGGAATTTGTATGTGGACATAAACATGTGTGTGTATTGATATTCTTCTGAGACGTATATGGAAATACAAAGGCCCCCCAAACGGCAAAATAGTCTTGATGAATTTGAAAACTAGATAACGTACACCAAGAACTATCAAGACTTCTAAAACTATATTAATTAAAATCATCTGTTATTGGCACAAGGATGGCCAAACAGCAATAGAACAGAATATACCACACCTAATTTGGGACACCTAATCCATTGCAATGGATTAAAAGATGGCCTTTTCATTAAATTGCATTAAATTGCTTGGATATTTATGTTTTTATAAAAAGGGATGTTGAACTCTCCCTCACTACCACACACACAGACATTATTACAGATGGTTCTTGGATCTAAATATTAAAGATAATTTATAAAACTCCTAGAAATTAGCCAGGCTCGGTGGCTCAGCCTGTAATCCCACGCCTTTGGGAGGCTGAGATGAGTGGATTGCCTGAGCCCGCGGGTTCGAGACCCACCTGGGCAGGCGAGACCTCATCTCTACAATAAAATTAAAAAAATTAGCCGGGTGTGGTAGCGCGTATCTGTAATTCCGGCTACTCAAAGGCTGAGGCGGAAGGATCGCCGGAGCCCAGCAGGTCGAGGCTGCATGTCATGTTGCTGTCATGGTATCTTTCAAATGTGGCTAACATGCATCCATAGACTTAGAGTAAAGCAAATTGCCCTCTAGAGTGTCAGTGGGTCTTATCCAACCAGTCGAAGGCCTCAATAATAAAGACTGAGGTTCCTGAAGAAGAAAGACTTTGACTTCAATACAGAAACACAGCCTACCTGTCCTGTCCTGTGGATTTCAGACTCAAGGCTGCAACATCAACTCTTCCTTGAATAGACTTGCCAACCCTCTTTTTCATTAAAAGAAAGCTCTTTCTCTATAGAGATTGATAGAGATATAGACATGTAGCTATGTACATACATACCTGAGAGGGGACCTTACAAAAAACGGAATAATTTTTTGGAGGGTGGGCCCCCTGTAGTACAGGCTTCCCCTGTCAGGTAAGTGTTCTAGGAACCCGTCGGCATCAAGGTACCAGCTAGCATTGTTGTGAGAGGCTGCATTTGACTTCGGTGAATTTTTTTTTTTTTTTAAAGATTCTTTCAGTGCATTTGCTCGTTTCATGATGGGTGATTTGCAAACACACCTGCGCACACTGTGCTGAGGGTTCAGTACTTTGGGACCAAAAAACGGCCTGACCCCATGCCCCACACTCCCTATTCACCAGATCCTTCCCTGAGCAACTTTTTTGTTTGTTTCCCTGGATGAAAAAAGTCCTCAAAAGGAAGTGTTTTGCTGATGTGGAAGGGGTGACACAAAAACTGATAGAATCACCAAAAGGCATCAAAATTGACGAGTTCAAAAACTGTTTTGAGCAGTGGGAAAAGCATCTAGATAGGAGTATTGCATCAAACAGAGAATACTTTGAAGATGAGTAAAGTTTAAACATGTAAGAATAAATACACAATTTTTTATAAATAGATTCAGTTTTTTGGGGGGTTGTCTTCCGTGTGTGTGTGTGTGTGTGTGTGTGTGTGTGTGTGTGTATCTCCTATTAATTCTATTTCTTTGGAGAATTCTAATACACCCATTTTTTTACAATTTATTCTTTGGAATTAGGTTTTTTGAGGCTATTATAAATTGTATTTTTGTAATAGTTTATTATCTAATTTGTTAGTATGTAAGGCAAACAACTTTATATATTGACCTTGTTTCAGTGATGTTGCTAAAATTATGTATTAATTTTTAATTGTTAAGAGTTTTGTTTTGTTTTTCGAGTTGGAGTCTCACTCAGTCGCCCAGACCGGAGTGCAGTGGCCGCTCCCGCCCCCACAGCCTCGCCCTGCCGGGCTCCGGCGATCCTCCCGCCTCAGCCTTCCGAGTAGCTGGAACTACAGGCGCGCGCTACCACGCCCGGCTAAGTTTTGATTTATTGTAGAGATGAGGTCTCGCCAAGTTACCCAGGCGGGTCTTGAACCCACGGGCTCAGGCAATCCACTCACCTCAGCCTCCCAAAGCGCTGGGATCACAGGCTGAGCCACCGAGCCTGGATTGATGTTGATTTTATAATTTTTTTTCCCTAAAAAACAACTTTTTGTTTTGTTGACTCTTTTCCTCTGGTGTGCATTTATTTTCAATTTTATTGACTTTTGATCTTTTAAATTTCAGTTCTTCTGCTTCTTTGAGTCTACTTTCCAATTCTTTTTCTCCTCACTCTCGCCACCGGTTAAACTGTATTCTGCTTCCTGTCCCTGCGAACTTGGCTACGCTAAGTACCTTGCATAAGTGGAAACATACAAAGCTGTCCTCTTGGGTCCGGCTTATTGCAAAATGCTTTCAAGGTTCATCCATATTGCAGCACATGTCAGAAATTCACTTCTTTTTAATTTCAAATCATAGTATTTATATAACACATTTTGCTTATTCATCCATTGATGAACATTTTGGGC